TGACCATGTCTAGATAGTTTTCAGTTATGATGTATTTTCTGGGCCAATGCTCTTGGGACTGGCTAATGATTCTTTAGCATGAAACATCAGGGAACTATAGGCACCTCTGAATAAGGCATTACTCTCCAATGAGTAAATTCATGTTGATCAAACCCTCCTCCTACCATGACTACCAATAATCCCTTAAACTATTTAATAAAAAGAATTCAGAAAAATAGAAATCATTCCTTGTTTTTGGCAAAGTCAAACCACAAGCTTGCTGCCCACAGAGACTGGATTCAAACCACTGCTTTAGATGTAAGGACCCATCCAGCTTCCTCGATCTGGCTTTGAGGCCTAAATCAGTACTAATATTCCACATATGTCTCCGAAAAACTACAAAGACATCATGCCAAGCTCATTTCCTTTGTATATAGAGAGCCCTTTGTATACAGTGCCCAAAGTGGCACGAACCTTTTCGGTTGTCAGGCTGGAGGGTCAACTCATCTCCAATTCCCTTTTTTCTATACTGCTGCTTTTTAATTGCTGACTCCCATTTTATAGTCAAGCCAATTAGTAGGCTTGGCCAAATGTGGGGAGCTCGGAGGCCTGGAACACAACACTCAGCTCAGCCTAAGGAAAACAGGAAGCCTTGTCAGAAATGCCCTTATGCAAAAGAGCTACACCTGACCAACAAATGTCAGAAGTCTAAGAGATGGATATTGTAGTTCCATAGAGTCCCTGGCAGATCAGCAAGCACTTGAATATCTGCTAGACTGAGAAGCAGGACAGGTGCTTGACACAGGATGGGGAAATTTTACAAAGATGACTATTTCACTCTTCATCCAATTTAGTGAGCATTTTTATCCACTTCTGTCTCTGACAAGCTCAATAACTAACTCCTTAAAAAGCTATAAAACACACACACACTAACATCCCAAATGTCCAGCATTATGCGAATGGTTAAACAAACCACAGTACTAACAAACCATGGAACTGCTGCTATTATGACCTTTAAGAAGAATAAGGTAGAGCTACCATGCATGTGCTGATATGGAAAAGTGATAACATAGCGGGGGGGAAAAAAGCAAATTGCAATACAGTGCATAAAATGCACAGTGCACATTCTATTACCCCATTTGAGTTTAAAAATAAAGTTCTTTTTTTAGACCTGAATAGATTACACAGTTATACCAATGAATATAATTACTGATTAAACTGTACATTTATGTTATATATACTTGTTTATACATAAGTCATATTTAACAATGAAAGTTAAAACTGCTGCTGATCATCTCTGGGTAAAGTCAGCCACATGGCTTTCAGAAAAAAATTCATTGCTTAACTCATTGAGCAGGAAAGCCATGCTTCTCGATGCTTCCAACAACCACCCAACTACACTGAGAACACAATTTGTTCTAGTTGCCACCTGGAAAAAACCAGTTCCCCTTAAGGAAGAGCACTTCTGTTTAAGGCCAGCCCTGGTGTTTATCATAGCGTATGTTTAGGGAAACACACTAACATTTTTCTCCTGACTATGAAGTCTTAAGTTCTCTACCAATGGGAAAACTCGTGGGGGTGGCAGGAGTGAACGGAGTGGAAAATTTTCAAAAACTCTTGGCCTACTTAACTGCCCTGACAGCACATAGCTATTGTGTTTGGGGGAGGAGGGGGTGGACTGCTTCTTCCTAAAGGAAGCATAATTAGTTGACCAGTTCAAATATTACCAAAGAGATTTAGAAAATGGCTAACAATTTTTTAAATGTGGCCCAAACATCTAATATCCAGTGATCCTTAATATTAGAAAGTTCTTCCAAAGTCTCTTAAAAATCACTCTGCAGGAACTTTCTAATATTAAGAAATACTCTGGTTTTTTGCACACTTTGGGACTTCTTTTATCTCCTATCTTGGGGCTTCTTTCACAGAGAATGACTTCACTGATCTGACTGGAAGTTCACTTTCCTCACTCCTCATTTGTCCTCCCTTGAGTGCTGCGCTGGTTTCTAGATTTACACACAAACCAGCTGTGGCCACCTTCCAAAGTTCTTAGCAAATCCCTGAACTGCCTTTTACTGTACAGCATCCCTGGAGGTCCAATTCTGTTTTGTGGAATCAAACAAATACAGAACAAATTGGTGGGAAGGTTCAGCCGTTTCACGTCCTCCCAGACAACAGAAGTTGCTAAGTTTCAATATAAAATGCACAGCTGTGCGGTTTTCTTGGTCACAGCATCAATGAATATCAGGGCTGGGAAAATCCATAAATCGCCAAACCATTCCTCCTCATATAACCAAAATATCTTTTTCCTGTTTCTCAGGAAATGAAGATAAAATGGCCAATTAACACTTAAGCAGCCTTACACTGACAAGCCCACAAGCTGAGAGAAGCTGGCAGGAAAGGACTCGGCTAGACATCTTTGCTCTACAATTAACAAAGACTATGGGTCTCTTTCAGCTTACTCAATGCTCTGTATTCATGTTTTGGGTACCTATTCTCCTTTAATAACTTCCCCCCATTAAATCTCCTATCAGTCACTTGGGTTTGGATTTCACCCCAGGATAAGAGGTAATTGCAAGACACTCTGAAATCTCTGAAGGGCAAAGCTCCGTGGGCATTACAACCAACGTGCATACTGAGGAAAGCAGAGCTCTCAGCTAGTCAAATGAGATACAAGAAAATGAGCAGCTGCTGGGCGCGTCCTTTCTCACATAAGGAATTGTTTAAAAATCTGCTAACAACGGAAAGCAGAGCTCTCAGCTAGTCAAATGAGATACAAGAAAATGAGCAGCTGCTGGGCGCGTTCTTTCTCACATAAGGAATTGTTTAAAAATCTGCTAACAATAGCTGGAGTATTAGGAAACCTGGCTGCCTGCGCCCGCAACTCTTGTCTGTTGTAAATACTCTTATTTCATAAGCAGGTTTCGAGAAATCCCATTAGATAAAGAGTTCCGGGCGTTGCGACCTCTTTTTCCGGACTCTCGCACTAACCTCCTCAGTGTTTCCCTATCATATTCCCCCTACCCCAATCCAGCCGACGTTTCATTGGCTCCCCACAGCACACAAAGCCTCAGCTGGGCACTAACGAGTTTTTCCAAACCAGCCCTAACCCAATTCTCCAAACTTTCCCAAACAACCCCGGTACACGGTCCCATCAGTCGCCGGACTGTTTTTTCTCTACCTCCAGCGCAAGGCTCATGGTGTCCTTCCCCGGGGATCACCTCCTTCCCTCCCCCTACTCTTCCAACCCCCATCGCTCCCGGGAGATTAGTCCCCAACCCTCAAAACCCCGCTCAGAGTTACCTCCCCCAGCAGGTCTGCGCAGATCCCAATCTACCGCTCTCAACAGCAGCCAGGATGCCTCCCCCCAACACCTCCAGCCAACGAGCGCCCCGCTTTGCGACTCGCACTTTAAGTCCCCCCCGGCCCCTGCTCCCAGCCGCGAGGCTCCCGACCCGCCTCCCGCCGCCAGCGAGTCCAGCTCAAAGTGCTTATAGCGGCGCCCCAGAAATCGCAGCCCAAGGCGAAGAAATCCAAAAGCCACCCGCGGACGTCCCCCGAGACTGGGCGTGGCGAGCCCCGCTCTAGCCCGCCGACTCTTTGCGAAGCAACGCTCACAGAAACGCGGAGCCCCCGAGTCCACCGCCGGGGAGCCGAGCGAGCGGCACGGTGACGAGGAGCCCCAGAGCA